GCCAGTGGGGTGAGGCTGAGGGATGGAGGTCAGGGAGGTGAGGCCGAGTCTGGGGTCTCACCACTAGCAGAAGGACGTGGAGAGGTCACATCGGCCCTGGAGCAGGGCCCCTCCAGACTCTCGCCTCCAGGGGCCTGGCCGGTTCCACGCGTGACCCCTGCCCCACGACCTCATCCATCCTAGGTCGAGCAGCGGCTCTCCCCGCATCTGCTCCTCCAGGGCAGCCAGAAGCCTGGGCTCCACGTCTCTGGGCATCCACCCCCAAGCTTAGAACCCACAGACCTTGCAAGCCTCCTGGGCCCAGCCTTCACAGCTGCCCTTTTAGGATGACCTAGCCAGCACAGAGCTGGCCCGTGTGGGACAGACTGACTTTCCGTGTGTTGGCCTGCTTGGTGCTTAGGGGTAGGGACACACCGAGGCTCAGAGGGGCCACCTGGCTGTCTAGGCCAAGTGAGCTAGGAGGCCGGCCGGGGACTGCGCTGTTAGACCAGGTCCCTGGCTCTCCACCACCAGGAGTGCTCGGTGAGGCCAGCGCTGGGCTTGGCAGTGCCCTGGGGCGGGCCCACTGGGCTCCAGGGAGATGCGCAGGGCCGCTCCAGCCCAGGGCTGGGGTGTCCTCCTCCTCCATCCCTCCTCCCACTCCTCCACCCCTCCTCCTTCTCCTCTATCCTCCTCCTGATCCTCCATCCCTCCTCCTCCTGATCCTCCATCCCTCCTCCTTCTCCTCCATCCCCCTCCTCATCCTCCATCCTTCCTCCTCCTCCTGGTCCTCCATTCCCTCCTGGTCCTCTACCCCTCCTCTGGTCCTCCACCCCTCCTCCTGGTCCTCCATCCCTCCTCCTGGTCCTCCGTCTCCTCCTGGCCCTCTGCCCCTCTCCTGGTCTGGCCCCCTCCCCGCTGGCCTCCCTAAGCATGGCGGAGCCTCTCCACTCCTAGAGAGCACCAGGCTCTCCTGTGGCTCTGCCTCCTCTATTAGCCCAGGCTCCGCTCATCCTTCAGGCGCACATCCCCGGCACCTCTGCCCATACTGGAGTTCTCTGTGGACAGTCCTGGGCAGGGGGAAGCCACCCTCATGCATTGGCTTGTGGCAGCAGGAACACCCCAAGGACACAGACACCGCCAGGGAGGCTGTGGACAGAGGCCCGGTGCAGAGCCAGGCCTGCGTGAGTCAGGGCGCCGGGCTCCGGTGCCTCCCCACGGGCCCAGGCAGGGCGCACGTTCCCCTGCCCGCCCCACCCAGCTCCCACCTGCTGGCCCCCGGCTGTCTGCGCTCCCGGCTCAGGCATAACCACCTTTCCCGGGATGAGTGACGGCTGCTCCGTGCCCCACCTGTGCCCCTCCCTGGCCTGGGTACTGGCACTAGATCACTGGGGGAGGGGGGTGTGAGTGTTGCCCCGAGTTGCAGACGTGGGCACTGGCCAAGGAGAAGCCTCCAGGAAGACAGCACCAGAGCGCCCCATGCAACCCTTCCCTGCTCCCCGGACCCCAGAGGAGGCCTGTGTGAGGCGACCGGGGATCTGTCTTCTCGGGGGTCTGCAGGCTCCCAGCTCTGTGGTGTACACACCACCAGGGCTGGGGATCTAGCGCTGCCTCGCTCCCGTAGTCTTGGTGCCCCTGTGGCCTGAGCCCCCCTCCCCACAGCCCTGCAGGGTCTGGGGAGCCAGCTAGCTGCCTGACAGGGCTGACAGGAAGGGGTGGCCATGGAGCGGCCTGCAGGGGGCAGTGTTGTGGTGGGATTGAGGCCAGCAGGCCTCAGGAAGGCTCTGTCCACGGGGGGGAGCGGTGGGCAGCTGCCGAGAGCGGCACAGGACCGGCAGTGCTGGGGTCTCATGGGGTCCGGGCAGTAGGGCCGGGTGGGGGAGGCGCACAGGAAGAAGAGCAGACCCCAGGTGGGGTGTGGCCGGCGGCCTGTGGACAGCCTGGTTTGGGGGTTCTTGCTCGGCATAGGGGTCCTGACTGGGGTCCAAGCACACTGGTGCACCTGGGTAGAATCAGGCCCCGGAGGAGCAGGCCCCCATCCTGGCCCCTCGGGCTGAGCCCAGGGCCTCGGAGCCAGAACAGACGCAGGAAATGGCTGATTGCACTGTTCAGCACAGCAAATCCTGTGCAGCTGGCCTGCCCCGCGCAGCCGCTGCGGGCGGGCGGGAGGCCTGACAGGTTCAGAGCCTGCCAAGGGGTCTGGGCTGCTGGCCGGGGGGCGCGCTTCCAGGCCAGAGGCTCCCACCCCACCCCAGGAGAGCCACCCCCTTTCAGTTCCCAGAACGGAGCCCAGCTGTGGAGCTGGTGGGGTGAGGTCATGGGGAGGGGGCCGCATTACTCACATCCGCGGGGCCTCGGGCGGGCGGGAAGGGAGGAGACAGGGAAGGGGCGGGGGGGGGGGGGGGGCCTCCAGGCCTCAGCTGCGGGGTCAGGAACTGGGGCAGGCAGGGCTTTTCCCCATCATGGGGGTGGCAGAGAGGGGGTCCCAGAGACCCCTGCCCTGTACCCCCACTGTCTCTGAGTTATTTTCCAGGGGTCCAAAAGGGGGTGACTTGAGAGGCAGCTCCTCAGAGATGAGGCTCCCAGAAAACCCAGCGTGGCTTCCCGCCAAGCCCCTACCACGTTGTCGGGGTGACACAGAGGAAAACAGTAAATAAAGAGGCAGGAGCACCCCTGGGGAGCCGGGGAGGGGGACAGAACTGTCCGCCCGTGATCCCCTGTTCCCAAGTCTTCTCTGCATGTGCCCAAGCATGTCCCACGTACACGTGTATGGGCCTGTGTCTGTGGGGGGGAGTGTGTGTGCAAGGGCCCCCATGTGCATGTGTGTGCCTGGGAATGCCTGTGTGTGCACGTGTTGGTGTGTGTGAGTATGTGTGTGCCTGGGATGCTTGTGTGTGCATGTGCTGGTGTGTGTGAGCATGCGTGTGGACAAGTGTGGGTGTGTGGGGACCTGTGTGAGCATGTGTCTGGACACAGATGTGCACACATGTGTGGCATGTGTGTGGATAAGTGTGAGTATCTATGGATGTGTGTGGACATGTGTGAGGATGTGTGTGAATAAGTGTGAGTATCTATGGATGTGTGTGGACATGTGTGAGGATGTGTGTGGATAAGTGTGAGTATCTATGGATGTGTGTGGACATGTGTGAGGATGTGTGTGGATAAGTGTGAGTATGGATGTGTGTGGACATGTGTGAGGATGTGTGTGGATAAGTGTGAGTATCTATGGATGTGTGTGGACATGTGTGCAGTGTGCAGCTGTGTGAGCACTGTGTAGGCACATGTGTGTGAGGGCTCGCACGTGTGTGTGTGTGTGCATGTGCGTGTGCGTGGATGGGATGTTCCCTGGGGTTTGTGCGGATGGTGCTGCTGTGGCCCGGGGTGCTGCTCGTGGCGGGGGGCCTGGTGAGGGGCTCTGGGGTGCAGAGCCCCCGCCAGAGGCAGTGAGGGACCCCATGGGAGAGGACCTGGAATCCCAAGGAGGAACTGAGGCTCAGACTTGCATTCCAGGCCCTGGCTGACACACACACTTGTGTGAGCACAATGGCACCCATGCCCGCAACAAGACACACACAGAGACAGGCTGCCCCTCGAGTGGTCTCTTTGGGAGAGGGGTGGCCCCAGGAGCAGGCAGGCAGGGGTGTCTGCTTCCACCGTGCTCTGCCCATGGGGGGGAAGGGGGGCTCTGGTGTGCATGGGTTTGGGGGGACCTGAGAGTGAGGAGCTCCGTCTCCCCAGGTAGGATGGGGCCCTGCAGCCCCAGCCAGCCAGGCCTTGGAGCCGGGAGGCCGGACTTCATTGGCAATGATAGGAGCCAGGTGTGGGGAGTTAAGGGGCTTTCTGGGGTGGGGGTTGCGGTGGGGGGGAGCGGCGGGCAGGCTGCGTGGCTAGAGTCCCACGTGGCTGGGGGGGCGCCGTGTGCTGGAGCCTGTGGAGGGGCCTGGCTTTCGTCTGACAGGCTTAGGGAGACCTGGAGAGATTAGATCATGTGCTGGCAGTGCTGCCTGGCCGGGGGATGGAGGCCCAGAGGGGAGCGGGCGGTGGGGTCATTCAGCGGACACTCGTCAGGAAGGACCGAGACCCCGGCAAGGAGAAAGACCCAGGCCTACCCGTTCCCGGCCGCCTACCCTGGAGCTGGGCGGTGGGCCTCCTCCCTAGGGGACTGGGGTGTGCCTCTGACACCCCGAGCCCGCCATCTCCGCCTTCCTCTCTAGCTCCGCGCAAGGGGGCCCCAAAGGAGCCTACGTGCCCCAGCACTCTGAGAGAACAGCACTCCCTGGCCTCAGTCCCCCCCCCCTTTGAAAGGCACAGATGGAGCCTGCCGAGGGGACCCGAGATGCAGGCTGCCCGGCTCCCCAGCAATGGCTGGTCAAGGCGGGAGGGGAAGGGCAGGGAGGAAGGGCCGGAGCCGGGGGGTCCAGCCTGCCTGGCCAGGCCCAAGTCGGCTGACCCTCTCCCAGTACACCCCTGCTGTGGTCAGGTAGCTGGAGGCTGCTGGGGGCTGGTCACCCCGGAGCGCCTCGGCCGCGCCTCCCGCGTGGAGCGGAGCACCTTTGCCCCAGCTGGTCCAGGGAGGGGGCGGTTTCTTAGGGCCCATCAGAGCCCCCTCACCCCTTCCGGGCCACTCCCCAGAGGGCACATGGTGCACGGATGTACACAGAGCCCTGGGAGTCCTCCCTCCTTCCAAAGTAAACCAAAGCCTGGCCCTGGTGGCTCACGCCTGGCATCTCAGCTAGGCAGGAGGCTGAGGTCTGAGCAACACGGTTCAAAGCCAGCTGGGGCAGGAATGTCACAAAAAAGCTAGAAGTGGAGGCGTGGCTCAAGTGGTAGAGTGCCAGCTTGAAGGAAAAACACCAAGGGGCGGCTAGCAGGTAGGTCTTGAGTTCAAGCCCCAGTGCTGGCATAGAGCGTGAACAACTATGAGAGTAGTAAACTGAGGCCAGAGGAGTGGTCCAGGGGCAGGGCTGGCCCAGCACCACCCGTGCGAGCCGTGGCATAACTGTCATCGGTGTCTCCCCCAGGCTCACTACCCGGTGGAGTGTGGAGGGCGGAGAGGAGGCCGCGTGGGAGCAGCACCAGCAGGAGCCAGGCAGACAGCCGCGGGACCCGGACCGGGACCGGAACCGGGACCCGGACGAAAGCAGCCATTCTCCAGAGCAGCCCGAGCAGGAGGCCCTGTAGGCTGCCTTGCCCCAAACCCCAGTTTCTGGGTAGATGCTGGGGTCAGCCCTAGGCTTGGGGATCTAGGTACAAGAGTTGGGGGGCAGGCTAGAAGCAGGGCAGAGCTCCAGGGGCCGGGGGTCAGCAGCCCCAGGTGACCTCGTCCGAGGATGCCTGAGTCGGCCAGACCGCCCTCCCCGCTGGCCTCCGGGGCTCTGACTCAGGCTCTGGACACCCTGCCTGGCCCCCGGCCTTGCTTGGACTGATGCTGACCCCAGCTGCCTGGCCCTAGCCTCCGAGCCCCTCAGGGCCCCGGAGCCCCCCGCCCCAGCTCCCGGCTCCATGACTCATGCAGCCCATATCCAAGTTGGCGGCCAGGGGCCGGCTCGTTTCCTCCATGGGCCCAGGAGGCCTCCGTGGCTGGGCTGGGCTGTTTTTCCAATAATGCTCCCCTTCCTCCTGGCCCCTGCTTTGTTCCATTTTCTCCGAGTCAGCAGCTTCAGGCGGGGTGGGGTGCTGAGGGGTCACGGCCCCTCCACTGGCCCTCAGTTACCCCGGCCCTCACGGCCCGGCCCTGCCATGGTCGCCCACCCCGCTGCTCCACGCAGGTCACAGCACCCCCAAAGCCCCGGCTGGAGGGGACGCACAGCCCCAAACTCAAGAGAAAGGCCCAGCTCTGTTCTTGGGGAGCCCCAAAGTAAATGAGAGGCACAGGCTTTCCTTTGGAGCCCGAGCTGGTGTGATCCAGGCTGGTGAGAGTCCGGGCTGGTGAGAGTCCAGGCTGGTGAGAGCCCGGGCTGGTGAGAGCCCAGGCTGGTGAGAGTCCAGGCTGGTGTGAGTCCAGGCTGGTGAGAGCCCAGG